CTTCATATTCGATCTGTAGGGATTGTAGCTGTATGTTTCTTTGTAGATGTTTCTGTAACTTTTTTGTTTTTTTACGGATAGGGTTGTAACCCTAAGACAACCTCTTTTACCTCAGGGAGAGATGATCCAAATTTGTCTGGTCTCTACCCTTTGACCTGTCCAGTTTGGGTGACCCTTCCAGGAGCTTTAGCTCCCACTGGTATAGCTCTCCATGTCATTGAGACACACAAGCCACCTCACCATGACAAGGAATATTATGGGGAATATTATGGGCAGAGAAGGAGGAACAGACAAGGATATCAGTGCTAGGATAGAGAAAGCAACAGCTGCAATCAAAACTTCATCCCATATGGAGTTCACAAATAATATCTGCGAAGACAAAATTGCGAATCTTCAACACAGATGTGAAGAGTGCACTCTTGTATGGATGCGAGACCTGGCATACTAAGAAAGTCTTCAAATCACAAGCTACAGACATTCATAAACAGATGCCTTTGAGGTACATCCTTCACATCAAATGGCAAGACTTTGTCACAAATGAGGAGCTTTGGAACAGAGCAGGACAAGAACCACTTGATGTTCAAATCAAGAGAAGAAAGTGGGGATGACTAGGCCACAGTCTCAGAAAACCATCATCCAGCATAGTCTGTCAAGCTCTCACATGGAACTCGCAAAGAAAACACAAAAGAGGAAGACTTTGGACAACGTGTAGAAGATCTATTGACATTGAAGGACAACATCTGGGGTACTCCTGGAGTCAGCTAGAAGTTTGGTCTCAAGACAGAATGAAGTGGAGAAGACTTGTAGATGACCGATGCTCCACTTGGAGTACAAGGGTTTAAGAAGAATGTGCCACAGGACTACTCATTTCTTAATTTCTAGTTTAATTCTAAAGTGAGGGTCATCGGTAGGCTAGTACATAAAAAGTTGAATTTTAGTACATTGAGCATGGCATCTAACAGTGAGAGCTGATTTACTACCCCCAAGACTGAAATTGGCAATTTTAAAATCATCTTTGCCAATAGGTAGAGGCCAAAGCGGGATGACCCAATTTTTTTCATAATTTTTTTTTATATAGTATAAATGATGTGGGCCACCATCCTATTTATCATAGTTGGAGATGTTAAAAAAAAAAAGCTGCACTCTTGATAAACGTTTTCCATCTCCATATAAAAGCATACATACTCATGTATTTCATACATACATACATACATACATATGTGATTTAGGCTTAAAAGGTGCGTGCTGATTTATGACCAGAGTAGTGATGTAAGCAACTAGTCGACTATCCGATAAGCAAAAGCTTATCAAACAGTCGACAAGTCCAAGTTAGAGGCAGCAAGGGGGGAAGCAGGAGACAGCTTAAAAGCTGGTTCCTCCCCAGCACCATCTCTGCAGGAAGCAGGGGGATAGCAGGGACCGGGCGCAAGCCAGGAATCATCTGATTCCCAGCTCGTGCCTAGTTCCAGACACTAAGGGTGTGTCTAGACTACCTAGTTTTGTCGACAAAAGTGGACTTTTGTCGACAAAACAATACCAGCGTCTACACTACCGCGGAGTTCTGTCGACATAACGTCGACAGAACTCCGCGGTTTTGTCGACGCTGGTATACCTCATTTTACGAGGCAAAACACCTTCTGTCGACAGACTTCTGTCGACAGAAGGTGTTATTGCCTGTAACGTTGTGTCCAGACTACGGAGTTCTGTCGACAAAGCGGCTTGCTTTGTCAACAGAACTCCATGTGTCTGGACGCAAATTGTCGATGGAAGTTTTGTCGATAGTATCTGTCGACAAAAGTTCCGTCGACAAAACGCGGTAGTCTAGACGTACTCTAAGAGATTGCTGGCTCTTCATATATTTAAATATCAGAAGTACAGTGCAGGGGGACCCGGTGCAAGCTGGGACAGCTGATTCTTGGTTCCCGCTGT